CATCCCCCTTGGTTTCGACCTTGTGCTGAAAAGAGCCCAATGGGGCAAGAATGCACTGTTCGCCCCGATTTCATCGAGGGAACTTCAAAACCAATTCGATCTAGTTGGCAATCTGCCAATCCGGCAGGCAAGCTCAGCGTGACGGTTGACTATGCGGAACAATAATGAAATCCTGGCAGGGTTCGCCAAAAAATGCGACCTTTGGGTGCCCCGTTGTCTTCCCTTAAAAGTCCTTGAAGGCTCAAACAAAACAGTGTAATACCCTTTTTGACCCACCCTGAGGCCGGGTGGGGGAGGCGGATGGGAAAATCCTAGAATGCTTCAGACAAATGATGAAATTGGGTTTAAGCAGCACTTTCTGTGGTTCCAAGAGATTTGAGTACGTAGCAGAAAGGGTTATAAGTCATTGTCCACAACCATAAACATGGGTCAACGCTTCGGGCGAGTCCACTGTCTGAATTTCAGGCACTGAACTTCCATGACATTGTCCTAAGGATCTGAAATGAAGGCAGGGGTCCTCAGTGCCACATGCTCCCACATATGTCCAATGGCTAAACTGGCTTAGCTCAACCAAGCTACGCGTAGGATTTCACTTGTTGTCTACCTTCGTGTTCGCCAAAGCTGAAGATATTGGTAATATGGCCATGGGTCAAAAGCCCGTACCCCCAGTGAACATCCCAATCCCCACTAAAATCGACTAAAATGGGTGCACATATCCCAAAATGGTACCAAGACGGTTTTGACAACCACAGCCATATGAATTCTACCGGAGCCTCGCCGACAAAATCTTTCTCCACTTGGAGGGCGCCTTCTCTTTGAGGCCAAGGGCTATCGCCCCTGCCCATTTTGATGTTTTACTGCTTCCAGGCGCGGGTTTCTGCCCCGTCCTTCTTCAGCATCGCAGCGCGTTTCCTCCTGGAAGACTGAGATGAGAGATGCTGTGCTTAGTAGAATGGGGTTGGATACTGTAACACAAATTTGAGTCTGGAACAAAAAAATGTGCGTAATTTGTTAGGCCCGTACATTACAATTGCAAACATTTGACTAATCCAGATGTTATCCTCTGACAAAACATGGAAGAGTTTACAGTGGAAGACCTGACCTTGCTCAAGGTACGATACCTTTTGCCAAAGGTGGAAGGTTGGTGGCAACTTTCTCTACGATTTTGGTCACGGAACCAAAAATACAATCCATCCATGGTTACTCTCGGAATCGATGTTGGAAAGCCCAAGGCAGAACCGTGACGCTGCCAGGGCCGAGAAAAACCCACGTGCCTTACGGGTCAAACAGGCTGGAAGCAATCCGCAAAAGAACATCCCGGAAGCAGGCAAAGGAAATGCAAACGGCGTGCACTCTGCTTTGGTCATGTCTTTGCTGTGTGCCAAGATTGCTTTTGGTTGACCCCCGTGGCAGGGTTCCAACAACTGGGTTCAATTGGATGGCCTGGTCGCAGGCTTGCAAGTGAAGCAAATAAGACAAACCATCTTGGGGGCTCCGACACTTTGAGCGCAAAAAGATATAGTGGCATCAAAAGCTGAGCCCAGTCGAGTCGATTTGGGACAGCAGCTCCGCGCAGCTCCCAGCTCTTGTCAAAATTGCCTACCCTGGAACTGCTTACAAACGACCATCTGGACAGCCATTCATCAGGTTTCTCAAATGGGACCCTCTTTTGGGTACAACAAGAAGGCCAAAAGAGTGGTGGTGTTTATTCCCTTTAAATTTGCATTGACGTATCAAAACCTTCCGCGAAGCTTCCGCGGTACTTTCCGCGAGCATGTTTCTGCATAAGTTTATATAAGTGCTCCCGCGGGCCTTCCGCAGGCAAGTTGCTTCTGGAAATTGAGGAAGGTAGCTTCCGCGAGGGAATTCGTGTGCACGGTTTGCTAGTAAACCTACCCCTTAGGGAACTATTTTGAGAAACACGCATCAACACAACCTCATGTGAAACAGCGTCTGTACGAGACCAGCAGCTGTGGCCTTTCCCGCTCCCCATCCCCTCTCAAGGAACATATGGGGAACCATGTCCAGTGAATGACTTGGAGGCCATGCAACCACGTGCGAGTGCCGGCCGGACTTGCTATCCACAGTTGAAAAAAGAAGAACATGGATCCCACTGCGCAAAAACAGGCACCGGATAAGGATGTCTGTCATGGAAAATAGGCGTTTCACGGGAAACGACAAGGAGACTCGCATCCCACCTAAACCCAAAGGAGGAGGTCGTTCTCTGTAACGTCTGCCAACACGCTCCTTCCCTCGATCATGTCCTACCAAAGCCTTCAACCCACCTCAATATCTATACCCCCCCCTAGGATTGTCAGTCCATTTAAAAACAGCATACCATTCCAACCATTCAAATCCAACATTCCAACCAACATTCCAAAACAGCATGCCATTTCAACCCTTCAAGTCCAGCATTCCAACCAACATTCCAAAACAGCATACCATTTCAACCATTCAAAACCAACATTCCAAACATCATTTACAAACAGCATACCATTTCACCCTATATTGAGGTGGGTTGTTGCCCCCCTGCAACGAAAAAAGCACCCCCTAACAAAGAACATAACCAAAAACCCTAACAGGAAACAAACAAACAAACAAGAACCACCAACCAACTCAGAAACAACACCACAACCAACCAACAACAATCATCATCACAGCATACAAAAAACACAAACAAGCATACCATCAACACTCGAGGGAACATTTCAGGGATCATTTGCAGGGTATATCAACTGTCCCCTGTGTGCACCGCTGATGAAGGCACAATACACGACAAGCCGCCAGCTCACTCCATTTTGCCTACTTGTTAGTTGTGCGAATCCGCTTTTTGGGTCGCTCTGCGCCCTCAGCTTCACTTCCTACCTCACTGCAGCGAGCAGAGAGCTCAGCCACACTGTCTACCTTTGAAAGTATTTTGCCACGGCACTCGCCTGACTCCCGCAAAAACTTAGAATATCTTTTTGCCAAAACCCACCTGTGTGGCATGGCATGTTTGTCCCAACTGCGGAAATCAACAACAGGAGTGATTCTTCTGTAGTCGCCAGCCTTCTTGGCTTCACCCAGCCGATGCCAAGAAGAGTTTGCATTGCAAATGATCGCCCATTCATACTGGTTCAAGATTGACGGCAGAAGAGTTATCTGGAAATGGTCGAACATGTCATGGCATGATCCGGGATAATCCTTGCAAAGAAGAATCGTGTTGCGCACGCTATCGACCACGAATCGTCTGTAGCCGTATGTCACGCCCTTTGGAGACCGTCCAAAGCCTGTGGATTGGGTTGCAAGGTGTGCTACGCTCAACGTTGCATCTTCACGTCCACAACCGCAGAAGGCACAACGATAGCCATATTGTTCGCGACAACGTCGCTTCGTGTCCGCAGACAGTTGTTGGGCACTTTCTCCATGGCTTGACTTCACGCCAGAATTGTCGTCTGAAATGTGCTTTTTGAGCACCTCGTTTTCCCTCTGAAGCTCTTCCAGCTTGGCTGTCTGTGTCCTGCTGTTGACTGCCAGAGGTTTGAACACGGACAAGACTATGCATCAAAACTCCCATTACCCAAGAACTAAACCCACCACTGAACCACCCAAACCAAGCAAGATAACAAACACCTGCGCACTTGCCAACTATTGTTCACAAGGATTGCGCACAGCAGGTGAAGTGATGTTTGTTGAATGCCCTGCGTGTGTCTGTGCTTCTGGTTCAGGATAGTGCACATAGAGCGGCGTCTTGGCTGAATTCCCTTCAGTGATGGCGTCCACCTTGGTGTCAGGCTCTAGCGGGGCTAGATTCACCTCCTCTGCCTGGAAGAGTTGGAGACTGGGCAGTGGCACGGCGTCCAGCAGTGGCTTCACCTCTGCCTTCGTGGCTTTGAGGAACTCGTCCACATCATCCAAAACAGTAGCATCTATCTTGATGGGGCAATGGCACTGCAAAAAAACAAAGAAACATGCACAAGTGCGTGTCTTCATGCGGACATAATCACACCAGAACCGTATAGGGTCATACCGTGATGCGCACCTACATGGTCATGCCGTTATGCAGACACAATACCCTGTCGAGCCGTTATCCACAATGAGTGTGGCTCATTCATATGTGGGAAGAAACCCTCCGAAGAAGCCCTCCCAACAGCGGGAAAAAAACCCTCCCAAGAGCGGGTCAAACCCTCCCAAGAGCGGGTCAAACCCTCCCAAGAGCGGGAAGAAACCCTCCAAAGGGCAGGAAACACCATGTAAATTGGCACATGTTGAATTTGCTCCATTGCACTGCCAGAGTTGCCACATTCCGGAAACACTGCCAGGTCGGGGTGTGGATGGTATGGCATATGATAGGGGATGTGGAATGAAAAAGGGCTATTGCTGTTGTGCTGGGAGAGGGTTGACGGGTTGAGGCAGGTTAGGTTTGAAGGCAGGCAAGGTTTGAAGGCAGGCAAGGTTGAGGACTGCCAGCCACCCCCTTTTGACCCCAACACCCCTGTTTGTTAGTCTCTGCATCTGTTGGCGCAGGAATTTTTATGCTGGAGTACAAGCACCGGGCGTGCCCCTTTTGGGAGGGGCTGAGGGTTAGGTTCGGGATTTCAGGGTTCATTGTTTTAACACGTAAACTAACTAACATTTACTTTTACATAATACTCACCAAGATTTCACAAATCAACTCACTAGGAATTTTATAAAGGTCTTCCTGTTTATGTCTTACACAACTCTCACCCCATTCTACCCGCTTTCCGCTCGGTGCACGGTGTGCTGTTTCAATATGTTTGTTATTAACCACCTTACCACAATCTGTATTACATAAACTTCGGGGTTTCCATCTATCAAGATTGTTCCATAACCTAGTTATTTTCCTGTAATTAAAACCGCATTTACAATAATCAATATCATTATATTTCAATCCACTCATAAAAGGTTGCATCTTCAATAATCCTGTCTGTGGATTTTCAATCACCCACCACGAATGATTAACGTAATCTATTTTGTCCAGGGTTTTTAAAACAATACGATTAGCATATTCTATTTTCCTTTATCCTGTTGTTTTTTGCCATGCTATATTCCGTGCAAGGTGGAGAAGCCCAAATAAAATCGAAACCTTTATCAAACTCTTTGTAATTCCATTTCAAAATATCAGTATTGATGTTAGCATTATTCAAATCCAATGATATAACATTGAACCCTAAATCTCTTGCAGTTGTTCCAACACTACCTGACCCACTGAATAACTCTAATAAATTCATTTATTAAAGTTATTTAGAAATTAATCTAAGGAATATCTACCATTCACATCCTTAACCAGCTTGTAATATTCAATGGTTTCAGGTCGTGGCATCTTGATTTGATTGTCGTTAATCATTTCACAGTATTTCTTTCTTTTATCATCAAAACTGCCCGAGGGACGTCCTATTTGTTTCTTTTCAAAAATATTATCAATATTTTCCTTCTCATCAACATTATCTGCTGTGTTCGCTTGAAACTTTTCATCAATTGCGTTTGTTAATTATGTTCATGCCTTGATATTCTTATTTAACATATTTACCTTCTTTATCAACTCACTCAATGATACATTATCACTATCTGACATATATACTTATTTATACAAATATATATATATATACATATTTATTTATTTGTTTATTTATTTATGCGTTTAACGTGGTGTTAAATCTACTCTTTATATATTAGTGTTTCATCATTCTTTCTCAGGTGTAAATAACTTACCAAATCCACTTTTGAAGTTTTCTACCCAACTTTCTTCAACTGTGCTTCCGTCGACATCTTTCTTTTTTACTGTATGCACTGTATGCATGCTTCTACCACATGAACACGGCCAACATTTAACTTTAACATGTTCTTTATCTAAGTCTAATTCATTTAATGGTTTAATTGTTTGACCGCATTTATCACATTTGACACATTCAATA